CGTTTCGATATCCGTCGCGGATTCGTCATCAGAGACATGAGTAGCAGAAAGTGTTTAAGTACGCTATTCGGTTTACGAAGCAGCACACACTATGAAAACCGTGCATCGTTAATAAATATCGCCAAAGGTCTAGTGATGTGCCAACAATATCTGGGTGAATACTTACGAAAAACTGTAACTAATCGACAACGGCCATCAAAAATAAATATAGTAGCGAGTTAAGTAAGAAGTAATTAAATAAATATTGATTAACTGACAGATTAAATTACTAAATTATAGAATATATTAGCAAAGTTTATTGAAACTAAAGAACCAACCCTACGTGGTAACCCACAGCAACAGTCATTGTTACTAAACATAATAAGTCGGACAGTAGCGCGTAGTTCATACATGACTTGCAAAAATCACACAGCAGTAAATTCCTCGCTGGAGTCAAGAGGATACTGCTACGGTGTACCACAGCCGACGACCCTCAGAGGACACATTGGGCAGTTGCGTACCAACAAGACACACTATGACTTAGGTAGGCTTCTTTAAGACGTAATTAAGGCACGTCTACCCGTTTGACAACAGAGACCGAGTTGAGATACCGTTTACGCTCAAGAGAACAAAGGGGTGCTTTCAGTAACTTCCAGATAGTAAACAAGACAAGGCATTCTTAAACAACTACAATGGGTAGTTATCCTTATTAAACACAGAAAGATTACATAACCTCTCCTTACCAGAGATATATTTACAGGTGCCTGATGGTAATCTCTAGAGTGCGTGACATTAAAGTGTTTTTTCGTTAATCGCCATCCTGCTGGGCAATCTTCTCCTCCCCCACCTTGTCGCAGGAGGGGGGATGTCGGAATGGCAACAGTCATTGATGTCGTCTGTATTGACAGCGTTTAGTGTTTTAGATCACCATCCCGTTTGCATCTGTCCGTGCGCGTCTCATCGGTAATTGCTGTTGTTGCCAGTGTCTTCGTTCCTATCGGGAGGGCAACCCCGCCTTTAGTGTTCATGTGTAAACCGCTTTCGTGTGCGTCTGCGTTCAAGCCTGACATAAGGTCTTGTTTGTTTGCATTCCCTATGGTCTCCGTTACGGCTGCGTTGGTGTTTGATATACGTTCAAGCACGCCTGTGTACTGGCTCGGTAGGGAGTTGTTTAGGATTTTTATAAGCTTGACTTCCTACAGGGCTAGTTTGTTGATTAAGTCGCTTTCGTAAGGCTCGGTGAGCTACCAGGAGAATCGCACGGCGGTTAATGGATTAAAATACAGTTAACCATGTTTCGAGCGTCTCTCCGACTGTTTGGTCGCTACCTCGACCCAGGATTTCGGAGTACTGAAAAGCAAAGGAGTCTCCGGAAGCTGCAGAGTACCCGGCCACCAACGAAAGCTGGTCCACCCTTTTTACTGCCATTGCGTGCTCAGGTATGCAGGTTTGCAGTCGCTTACCGATATCTCTGATGTAGTTCGCCTCAGATTAACTGCACTGAACACCATAGACGACATCCGCTGTTTCGCCAAGGGACAAAGGGGCCTTGGGTGTCATGACAATAAATCTTATTCTTGGCTCAGGTGGTTGTACGAGACAAGTGACTGCCTCGGATACTTTCTCAATATATGACATTGCACGCCAAACTCTCTGTTGGTATATCTTTAGTCTTGTAGCTTACTTCAGTCGTGTGCTGCGTTTAATAAAGTCACGAATGTAACCGCTGGATGTGAAAATCCGCCGAAGCTAAGGATGCTTGGCTATTTTGTCATCCGCCTCGTTGCAATGGGTTTCCGCCCTTTTGTAAAGAGTTCACACACGATTGTGTTTGCACCACAGTGAGTAGTTACTTTGCTAGCATAAGACCTGCCATACATCGGTTGCCTTTCGGTATACCATCGTCATTAGACTTCTGTCAGTCTTATGGCGGACATCTAGAAACGCAAGCTGACTGTTGACGTCAGAATCCGTTGTAAACTTAATTTCTGGATAGAACGCAGGTTAGGATGGTGGGTCTGTCCTATACCATTCCAAGTTTGAGGGCGATGAAGTTATCGTCCACATACCATGCCCAAAATGTTGGCGTATGGATCGTAAACAGAAGTATATTTAACTTTTGAAGGACCGTCTCAAAAATGAAACCGGATAATGGCGAAACCATCTGAGCTAATTTTATTTGTTTATAGACAGTGTCTTCAATGTTGAAATAAAAGTTGAGGCAGAAATAGAGCAGCTGGATGAGGTTCGCACGCTTAGGCTTAGTAGTCACTTCGTCCTATCTGCTCTCAAGTAGATCGTCGACAATTTCTGTTACAAGACTCTGAGGAAGCGAAGTGAAGAGGGAGGTGAGATCTAGCGATACCGTGCCTTCGTCTGCTTTAAGGTGAAGCCCATGAAGTCTTACCAAGAAGTGTACGGCTGAGCGCACCATTTAATTGGCGGAACAGCCATTTAAACAGGTAGAATCTCGGTGTTCCACGCGAAGATACCATGAGTCAAAGTGAGGGACCATACTTGTGCACTTTTGGCAGCCCATTGAATCTCGCCAACACTGAATCGCTTGGTTTGATGTTCAGCCGCTCAACATTTGAGATGAAACCTTTATTATGCTATGCCAAATGCGCCATATCGATTTGGGCCATCATCTTCTTTATCAGATATCCAACGCACTAGCAGTAAACATGAGTGTCGTCGAGCAGAGCTTTGGGTTTCCGGAGGTATTTAGCCTTATCAAGTACTACTGTGGATCTTTTTAATGACGGCTGGCAGTACTGCAATGCTCCTGTCATCATTTAGCGTTCCGATGCTATATAGCTCCACTCTTGGAATTGAAACACACGATTTATGCGTCCTATGTAAATACGTAACCTGTTATCGGATGTGGTGCTTTGTGTCACCCGACTCCTGGGAGTGTCTAAAGACCGACTGAATAGTAGTCAGAAGGTCAAGCAAATTGGCGTCTATGATGTCGAAGCATGTTGCATGTTTGAGCACTTGCAATTGTATCACCGTTAGTTCTCCGAGAAAGGAACTGTGGACCAGAGCCTCCTTGCGAGTTATTGCGGTTGGACATTAGTCTGAATACTTTTGGAAGGCCGAAGATCTCTTTATGACCTTTATGCCTACCACCGGTGCGATGGAGATTATTGTAACACAAAGCAACACGGAGTTCATGAAATATATTGTAAGGCAACAAAGACGAGACGCGTCCTCAAAGTCTGAAGTAACCTCCCCATTGGTTACAAACGCAGTTGTCAGAATTGTGCTTTAACGCAATTAAACACACGGTATCGACGACGATAGGAGAAAGAAGGAGACAAAATACCTACACCCCCTTTTCATAGTTAATGGTTATCCACAGTCCTACGTGAGTGCCGATAAAAGCCTCCCCGTGAGCGGCCGATCGACAACAAACCGAAGTTTTGGT